TTTTTTCACATTTTTATTTGTAAAAGAAGAAGAATGTGTTACAGTGGAAAGATATCTTGGCTCCATTACTTACTACCTATGTTTGATTAACCCCAGGCCAGCCATGGGGAACCTATGGCCTTGGTGCCACATGTGACCTTCTAGGTCCCTTGGTGTGACCTTTTGACTGAGTCCAAGCTTTATAGAACAAATCCTTTTATTAAGGGGATTTGTTCTATGAAGTTTGGATTCAGTCGAAGGGCCACACTTGAGGACCTAGAGGGCCACTTGTGGTCTCAAGGCCACAGGTTCCCCATCACCTCCCAGACAAAGTACGTCCTTTCATAGACTTCAACTTCCCCTAATCCCAGAATCTCCACTGTAGGAAGGAACCTTGAGATTATCTAGTGCAAGCCGTATTTTTACTGAAATCTCTGCTATAATTCCCCTGACAAGAGGGGCCGTCCAGGCTCTATATGATGACTTTTAGTGACAGAGAACTGAACAATTATATTTTTGGATAGTGCTTATCATTGAAAAAGTTTTTCTACACATATTACTATATATACATATACATATATATGTATACACACATTTTTAATGTATCTTGGAGTCAAGCATAGGTTGTAAGTAATTACATAGCATGTATTTTTCATATATAATTCTCTCTACCTAATGCACATTTCCACCCAATCTATAACATATAGCCGAGACTTGGAAAGTTGCCTGGTTAAGGGGTTAAGAGAGGCTAAGTGACTTGCTAAGGATCGCACAGTTAACATGTGTCAGAGATGAACTTTGAACCTAGGTCTTCCTCATTCCAAGGTCAGTTTCTTATCCATTATGCCACACTACCTTTTTTTTCCTTCTTCTGTATATTGAGCCAAAATTTACTTGACTGCAATCTCTGCAATTGCTTTAAGTTCTGACCCCAGGAACAGTCAGAAGATCTAGTTCCTATTCCTTGAGATAGCCTTTCAAATTCTTGAAGACAACTTTCAGTACAATTAAAAAAAAAACATTAGTGGTGATCAAGTGGTTATTCCCTCCTGACTCCCTAGTTCACTTATGTAAGCTAATGAGACAAAACATATTTGCTAAAAATTTTAGGTGGGAATCTCTCTACTCTCAGTTGGGGTCTCATTTGGCCTGGTAGCTAAATAAGCGGAGAGTTAGAATATCTAACTGTTATATTTAGGGAAGTTAGGTGGTGCAATGGATAGGGCACTAGGTCTAAAGACGGAAGACCTAAGTTCAAATCCAACCTCAGATACTTACTAGCTGTGTGATCCTGGACAAGTCACTTAACCTGTCTCTCCAGTTGTCCCATATGTAAAGAATGGAGATAATACTAACACCTACCTCCCCAGGTTATTATGAGGATGATTTTTGATTGTTATGAAGATGATATTTGTAAAATGTTTGAGAGTACTATGTAGATGCTACCTATGATATTATCTATTATTGTAATTTGTGAAGTTCGTCTTGAGATTAGGACTTTGTCTTGCTAAACCAAAACTTTCTCTAGACTGGTAGCCTGGTTTAGTCACTTTGATGCTGCTGAGTAAACTTAGGTTTAAACTTGTGTTGGTGTTTCTAAGATCAGAGAAGATGTCTTCTCTGCAAGGCCAATCAGGGAAAGAGGCAAGGTTAGAGTTTCCGCCAAGTGCATTTTTTTCAGCTGATTCCCAACTTAGTGCTCTCTCAGGAATGGACGTGATATTAATTCCTCAGTAGTCTTGCATTTAATGCTCCTTAAATAAATGAAATCAGTAGATCAGAGAGTAAGTAATGATTGATATGGGAATAAGAAACATGCCTGTGGCTTTAGGAAGACTTTCTTAGATTAGCAGATTGGACAAGCCATTTGTACTGGGAGTACCTGGCAGGTTAATGAAATCCTCTGGAAAGGGCTGGCGGGATTAGTGCAGTGAGGAGAGACCAAATGACCAGAGACAAATATCTGGGGTGTTCTGTTCAGTTCTGTGAACCACATTTTTAGAGATGTTAACAAGCTAGAATGTGCCCAGGGAACACGGAGTTTGGGAGGACTCAGTATTATCCTGTGTGGAGTTCATGTATGGAAAGTGGAGCTGTTTGTACTGCAGAAGAGAAGACAAGGGGTGTGTAATAGGGATCTTAAAGAATGTGAAGGCTTGTGCTGTGGAAAGGGGGTTAGATTAGGGTTTTTTTATCCTCAGAGGCTGGAACTAGGATCTGGGATGTAAATGATAGGGCTCAATATAAATTAAAAGACTTTTTTTTTTAAACAATGGAAACAGTTGAATAATGGAATAGAGTGCCTTGTTAGGTAGAGAATTCTGAGTTTCTCACCACTGATGGTGTCCAACCAAATGCTAGATGATCCCTTGTCTGAGGTGTTATAGTGAGAACTCCAGTTCATTTCAAACACCCACCTTTGAGGCTGAGAAGGAAATAAGCAATTATTAAGCACCTCTTGTGTGCCAGACACCGTGCTGAGCTCTTTACAAATGTTATTTCATTTTAGATATACATAATATTAACGTCTCTCTCTTGATGGGGAGGCAATGAGGAAGTGGAAACAAGTATCCCACCGTGATGATATTGCCACCAAAGCACGCAATTTGGGGCAGCACTAGTGTCCAGGTGTAGGAGGTGTTAATCATATTTCATGCTTCTCTGGTTAGTTTATGTCTAGAATATTGTGTCTGATTCTAAGCACCATTTTTCTTTTTTAGAAAACTCTGACAAACTAGAAAATGTCTGTAACCTGTTTGGTAAAGCGACTTTTGAAATCATGTCTCATGAAGCATGAGGGAAGGAAGGCAAAATGTGGTAAGAAGGATAGAATCATTTTTTCCTCTTCTTCCCCTCTGGTGATACCATGTGACCAGAGAATGAAAAGATTGTACTTGTGAGTTGAAAAGGGAAGGAACCTTTGGTGAACTCAAAATATTGGGATGAAGTGGGTAGGGGTATGTGACCTTTTATGAAGGGAATACTAACTCTGAAGTTACAGAAGCTGGGCTTGAATTCTGTGTGCCTTTGGACAAATGGCTTTATATCTCTGAGCCTCAGTTTCCTAATCTCCAAAGGAGTGGGTTGGACTTAGATGATCTCCAAGAAATCTTTGATGTGTAACATGTGAGCAATCTTTTGCCAGACCAGAATTTATTAAAAGTGAAGAACTTTTAATTAGAAATAAAGTCTTCCTTTGTCTGGACATAGGCCATGAGATCACTGGTTTAGAACTGTAGCTTATCTTACAGGTCATCTAGATGAGGAGACTGACACCTGGAGAAGTTAGTTGACTTGGCCAACATCACATAGATAGTATGTAGCTTTGCTCCTCTAACTCAAAATCCAGAACTCTTGGCATTGCATTAACCTGATTGAACATTTTGGGATTAGAGGTTTATATTCTTCCCCTAATTGGACAAAACTTTTTGGAAGCTGAATTCTTCTAGGTGGTAGTAGAACCATCTGTTTGTGAAGTTTTTTTTTTTAATTTTCAATAAGGCCTTTTTAGGTGTTTAGGGCTGAAATATTTCCCCACTTCTTTCCCTGGTAGCTCTTGAAAACTTTTATTGGACTACTAGGACCTTCATTTCCGAGGCTTTTTCTGGGTAAGACTTCCAAATAATCTATTAGAACACTGAGATGGAATAATCCATAACTAACACCTTTGTATTCTTAGTATATGAATGGGTAGTACTAGGGTTTTCATGTTAAAACAAATTCTTCATGAAAAGAAATAATTTTGTGGATTGCGATATTTGTTTTTGAGCTAAAATTTCCCCTAAGTAATCAATGCATGGTTGAGTTTTGTGTGCCTGAAAAAAAAAATACTCCTGTTATCATGGGGTTATCTCTCTGTCTGATGTGTTGGGTTGAAACTGAGCCAAATTTGTTTCTGAGTTTCAATACCAGACATGTGAATTTATCCACATTGCTTCTCTCTGAGCCTCATCTGTACAACAGGGATAGCAATGCCTCTTTTCACTATTTCACAGGATTATTATGAGATTCAAGAGAGGTGATTTTTGTGAACATGCACCAAAAACTGTCAAGTGTCATATGAATAATATATTATTGTTGATATAATTATTTTTTTGCTCAAATATTTATGTTATCTTAAAAAAAAGCAATGATGGGTTTATAATGCTTGAGTTTACCTGTCATTTTTTAATAGATCAAGTATATCAAATGCATTCTGAAGCGGCTTTCACCCATACTTGAGAATTTATTCAAGTAATGGTCTCTTTAAGGCCATGCTTGAACCAACATTTATATAGATGCAGAAATTATTTCCTTACGTTCTTCATTCAATTGTAACAGGCTCCCAGCATCTTTCTATGTCTTATCTCATAGCTCCTGCCTCTTAGATTTCTCCACTCCACACGTTTTCCTTATCAAAGGAGATGCTATAATGTGAGCATGCTTTAGGAACTATAAAGTGTCACTTATATTTCAGGGATTGTTATTATTGCTTCGGATTTTGAAATACTATTCACTCCTACAGTCCAGGTATCACTACTTGGAGCAAGAGTTTGCACACAAATAATCCTTGGCTTTTATGCATGAAATGTTATCGATAATTACAGCCTGGAAAGTGTAGTCAGCTGTGACCTCCCTATGTCTCCTTTCATATCTGGTTTTCGCTGAAGACTTGCCAATTATGTTTCTATTGCAAAAGCTACTATTTTCAAGGGTCTGCTGGGATATGATCTAAGCTCAAACTAGACCTATCCTTGTTGCAACTGCAATCTACTTTATATGTTTTCAAATGTCATAAACAAAAATTAGAGACTAGAAAAAAAGTGATTAAAAAAAACTTTTGTTGGGGCAGTTAGGTGGTGCAGTGGATAGAGGATGGGCCCTGAAGGTCAGGAGGACCTGAGTTCAAATTCGGCCTCAGACCAAACACTGACACTTACTAGCTATGTGACCCTGGGCAAGTCACTTAACCTCAATTGCCTAAAAAAACCTCTCCAAAACCCCGCCAAACCCAACTTTTGTTAGGCAGTATGGTTCAGTGGCTTGAGTGCTCTGATCATGGCTCTGCCACTAACTTGTCTGGGCAAGCTGCTTCACTCCAGCCCTCAGTTCACTTATCCGCAAAATGAGGATGTTAGACTAGGTGATCTCAGAGGTCCCTTTCACTCCACGACTCTGTGACTGGCCTCTTCCATCTGGTACCCACCAAACATCAGTAAAAGCATCCTTATTCTAAAAAAAATTAAACCTTTTTATTAGTGTATTTATTTTTTTCATATATAAAAGAAATACGAAAAAAGGAACGCAAAGAAAACGCTTATTATGGCAAGTCAGATTTATCAACGCCTTCCGCTTGGACTGCTGGTTCGGGACCACCGGCAGTCAACAAAGTCCGTCGGTTATAATGAGCCTTTATAATGCCGGGATTGTTGTTCTCATTGAGTATTTGCTTCTGTCTTTGCCTGTTCAGTGACTGAACCAGTCCCAGGACGACAGCTGCTAAGGAGTACTGTCCAGGCAGTTTTCTTGGTGGTAAGATTAATGGATTGGGTTGTACTCTTCCCAGAAGAAAATACGTTTTGATTTTTCCTTCCTGTTCACTGATGCCTTTGACGTAAATCTCTCCTCTGTAGTCAAAAGCAAAACCTTGGTCCTTCAGGATGAGATATGTCTCCTCAGGCACTTGGATCCGGCCACTGACACCGGTGCTATCCATACGACTTGCCAGGTTGACGGTTTTGCCCCAGATATCGTACTGTGGCTTCTTAGCGCCAATAACTCCTGCTACCACAGATCCATGGCTGATACCTGCAAAAGGAAGTGGAAGGGCAACGAATTTAGAAGTGGCTTCTCCCATCTCTGTACCTCCATGGTCTTTATTTATTACTGTAAGTAAAAATAAAGGATGATGAATCTATGCGAAAGGAAGGCAGCCATGTCTGCCAGTGGCCCCATTGAGGCTGTGTATCTTTCTGGGTTTTAATATTGTCATCTGTAAAACTGGGATAAAACTTTGAGGATGCCAGCAGGTAGCTCTGAAAATTAAGGAGAGTCTGGGCCTCTGTGTCGGTGTTGACTCTATAGTGAGGAGGTTAGACTAGATGCCCTCTGAGGTCCCTTTCCCCTCTATAAAGCCATGATCCCCTGATCCTTCACTGTTTCTGATGCCTTGGGTGTAGAGATGGATGTGATGACAAGAGAGAGATCAAGGGATCCAGCCAGGTGAGTGAGGATTATGGTGAAGCCATGTAGCTCTGGAGGCTCTGGGTTTTAGGGGTGGTGCTCCCTCCCTCTCTCTCTTGTCTTGGGAAAACCTTGTGTATTTGAGTTGCAAGGTCCCTGATGCCTTAGACCATGAGTTATCGACCTGAAGGTCCATGAACTTGGATGGGGAAAAAAAAAATCATCTTTCTTTTCTTTTCTTTTTTTTGGTTGAGTTTTTTCTTTTTTAAAAATATTTTTTTGAGGGGTGAGGCAATTGGGGTTAAGGAACTTGCCCAAGGTCACACAGCTAGTAAATGTCAAGTGTCTGAAGCTAAATTTGAACTCGAGTCCTCCTGACTCCAAGGCCGGAGCTTTATCCACTGTGCCACCTAGCTGCCTGGATTTTCACAAACCTCTAACTGAAGTCTAGTATTTTTTTCAAATCCCTACCCCCAAAGCAAATAAACAAAAAATAGAAACAAATAAAATAAAATAAATAAAATAATAAATAAAATAAAAACCAATTATTATTCTGAGACTTCACCAAACTGTCCAATAAATCCACTATACAAAAAAAAGTTAAGAACCCCCATCTTAGACACAGGCTACACTAGGAAGATAGGAGATGATGACTGTGTTACAAGGTCAGCAACACCAGTGTCTTTCTTTCTTTCATGGTCTCTCAACATTCCTGTGTCAGGTGATGTGACGCTGGTGCTATGTCTTTAATGATGACTGGTTTATACTCTTTTTATTTGCATGCATGTCTTATCTCCCAAATTTTAAACTCCTCGAGGGGCAGGGACTATGTCTTATTTGCATCTGTTTATCCAGAATTTTTCATAAAATTGTACCAAATGGGTGATTAATCCATCTGAGGATCAAGTGAAATAATATTTGTAAAGTGCTTAGCTCAGTGCTGGCAAATAGTAGGTGCTCAATAAATGTTTATTCTCTTCCTTTTTCCCTCCCTCCATTTTTGTTGAATTCAATTGAAAACCATGATCATTTCAAACACCCACTTATAAATACTATTAATACCCATGTATTGCTGGGAGGTGATGAAGGAGTAGAAGAAAGTACCCCAGATCAGGAGTCAGGAACTTACAGTCCATGCCTTCTTAAGTCACTTACTAGGTGTGTGAACTTGGGCAGGTCACTTAATTTCTCTGAGAGTCAGTAATTTCATCTGTAAAATATGGATCACAATGCCTGTTCTACCTACCTCTGAAGTGTTGTTGTGAGAACTAACTGAGATGTTGGATGGGAAAATGATTCAAAGTGTGAAAATGTTTTATGTAAGTATGTGAAGGCAACATTGTTAAATGGCTTCTATCTCTGCATCTTTGTGGATATATGAATTTCTGACATATTTATTTATAAGTTGAAGAGGACTATAAAGAATTGGGAGGAATGAATTTTCCAACTGCTGAGAAAATTTAATTATGCCAATAATGTAACATTTTAAGGGCTAGTTGTGATCTTAGGAACACATTTTCAGAGTTCACCTGGCATATTTTTTTTCCTAGGTTACATTTTTGCTTCTGTTTAAATTTTGCTGTCTATGAGTTTAGAAGGCAGGAGAGAAAGAACTATTCCTGTGATTTCATTGATCTAGCTGGCATTTAGAGAGTGCTTTCAGTTTGAAAACTACTTTACCTGGTATTTCATTGATGCCCATTTGACAGATGAGGAAATGGAGGCTGAGAAAGGTGAAGTGACTTGTTGAGGATTGCATAGGTAGTGTCTGATGTTCTATTAAAATTCATTTCACTAGAACTCCACATCTAGCACTCTACTGCACTATTTAGATGCTGCTGTTGGGTCTTCTAGAGGCCAAAAGTCTGTCTACCAATACAGACTGCAAATTCTCTGCAGTTTATTGTTTTAGACACATGCCTTTGGCACTGATAGGTTGTGACTTGCCCAGGGTCACAGAGCCAGTATGTGTCAGAAATATCTTTCTCGCTCCAAGGCTAGTTTTCTATTCTGCCATCCTGCTTCTTCTAGAGAGAAAGGAAACATAAACAATGCAAAATGGTGAGCCAGAGGCTCAGCAGTCATATCTTTAGGTCAAGAGCATCATGGGATCAACTTTCTCCCATCTCAACAGACACAGGTTCTAATGAGCTATGTGGCCACAGGTAATTAACCGGCATAATCTGGAGTTCAGGGTCCTCATCTGCAAAATAATGGGGTAGGGCTAGATGATCTCTCTGGATGTTTGCTTCTAACTAACATTTTATGAATCTAATTCTCTCCCAAAACGAGCTATTGGGCTGATTCACAACCTTGTCGTTAAGAGTTACAATGACCAGCCAGAAGGAATCCAGAGGGAGGCTTGCAATGTTGCAGGCAATGGAGACCACGCCAAAGACAGATGAAGGGACTCTTTCCCCTTTCTGGGATTCAGTTTCCTCATCTGCTAAGTCAGAGTACTGAATGACCTCAGAGCTGCCTTCCAGACATAAACCATATGACTATAGTCTATCATTGAATATGTCTACCTTGGAGTTGCTTAGAAACGACATGATAGCTTTCTTTTTAAATCTGAAAGAGAAGAGTTATAGGACTTTTCTTGACAGAAATGGGAACAACATGTGGAAATTCTAGGGAAGAAGATTCCAATGTGATATCCAGAAACTATTCTAATAATCAGACCCATCTAACAATGGAAAAGGCTAACTTGGAAAAGATTTTAACAAATACGACTTGCCCTAAGAAGAGTTTTCTCTGAGTTTGTTTTGAGAAAGGCTTGATTTTTAAATTATTATTTTAAAACAAGGATGCTTTTATTGAGTTCAAATTTGGCTTCAGACATTTGCTACTGTGTGACCCTGGGCAAGTCATTTAATCTCAGTCTCAATTTCCTCATCTATAAAATGGAGATAATAATAGAACCCACTTCATGAAGTTGTGGGGATCAAATGAGATCACATTTATGATTTGCCCAGGGTCATACAGCTAGTAACTTTGAAGTGCTATATAAATGCGAACTTATCACTATTATTATTGTCATCATGATTGGTGATTGGCAGGTACCAGATAAATAGTGAGTTCTCCACCACTGTAAGTGTTCAAGGAGAAATAGGATACTTATTTGCTTACGATGTTGTTGAAGGAATTCCTGCATTGGATTAAAGAAAGTATAATATAACAGAAGGAATGTTAGACTTGGAACCGGGAAAGACCTGTGTTCAAATCCTGCTTCTCTTCTTTACTAGTTATGTGATCACAATTATGACTCTTTTTACCTCAGTTTCTTTATCTGCCAAATGGGGGTGATGATAGTTGTAGCCTCTACACAGCATCCTCAGGACTTATCTGAGGCTCAGAGATAATATTGATAATGAGCTATCAAAATGTCACTTGTTATTGGACTGGATCTTTGTTGTTGCTGTTGAATTGTTTTTCAGTTATGTCCAGCTCTTCATGACCTCATTAGGGTTTTCTTGGCAAAAATACTGGAACGGTTTGCCATTTCCTTCTCCAGGCACAGTGCTAAGCACATGGCAATTATTATCTCATTTAATCCTCACAACAACCCAGGGAGGTAGGTACTATTATTATTCCCATTATACAGATGAGGAAACTGAGGCAGACAGCTTTTGGGTGACTTGCCCAGGGTCACAGAGTTAGTAATTGAGGCCAAATTAGAACTCAGGTCTTCCTGACTTCAGGCCCAGACATTCTGTCCACTGCACCACTTAGCTGTCCAATAGAAAGAGAATCACAGAATGGGGAAAGCACAGTGTGAAAAGCCTTGGACTTTGATTTGAAAGTGCTGGGTTCAAGTCCTGCCATTGCCCCTGATTAGTTCTATCATCTTGTGGTGAGTCTTTGCCTCTCTGAACCTCAGCTTAGTCATCTGTGAATTAAAGATTGCATTTTGTGCCTCCCCATAGTGTTGAGGAGCTCAAATGAGATGATGTGTATAACATGTTATATAACTGCCAGTTCTTATTGGGCTAACTGTTTCATAGAACCCAGATATTGCTGACTTCCTTCTGATAATCTGAAAGACGTCTAACCTAATCTTTAAGCTTCAAGGCATGGCTGCCAACGGCTTACTAAATCTGTTGTTGCTCAGTCATGTCCGACTCTTTGTGACCCCCCCTTTGGGGTTTTCTTGGCAACGATGCTGGAGTGGTTGGCCATTTCCTTCTCCAGCTCATTTGACAGGTGAGGAAGCCGAGGCAAACAGGGTGAAGTGACTTGCCCTGGTCTGCTGCCCCAGCCTACTAAATACTATACATCACTGCCTCTCACCGGTGAGGGGCCGTCCCCTCTACATGTGTCCTTGTACTAAGTGCTCCCACATAGCTAGAATGCATTCTCTCATACCCCGTGCCTCAAAGAATCCCTGGCTTCCTTCCATGTTCAGTTCCTATATCTCTGTAATTCTCCAGTCATTTAATACTTCTTCCCTCTTCAAATTACTTTGTATATACTTACTCGTGTAGGTAGCTAGATGGCGTGGCAGATAGGGGACTGGACTTGGAGTCAGAAAAAATTGACACTATTAGCTGTGTGATGTGAATAAGCCACTTAACCTCACTTTCCTCGTCTGTAAAATGGAGATAATAATAGCACCTACCTTCCAGGACTGTTGTAAGGGTAAAATGAAGCAATATTTGTAAAGTGCTTTACAAACCTGTATAAATGATATTTTTAATAATAATAATAATAATAAAAAAACAATTATTGTTGTTATCTATTTGTTGTATTCCCCCAATAGAATGTAAACTCCTTGAGGGCAGAGACCCTTTAATTTTTGTGTTTCTATATCTCAAGTGCCTTGGTGAAGGAAACAGCAAACCATTCCAGTATCTTTGCTAAAAAAAACCCCAAATGGGGTCACAAAGAGTCAGACACTACTGAACAACAACAATACTTTAGGGCAGCAAGGTGGTACAATGGATAGAGTGCCACGCCTGGAGTCAAGAAGACCTGAGTTCAAATCCAGCCTCAGACACTTACTAGCTGTGTGACCCTGAGCGAGTCACTTCACCCTCTTTGCTCAGCTTCTCCATCCGTAAAATGAGCTGGAAAAGGAAATGGCAAAGCACTCCAGTATCTTTGCCAAAAACAAACAAACAAAAACCCTCCAAAAACGGGGTCATGAAAGGTTGGACACAACTGAGACAACTAAACAACAAATATCTCAAGTATCTAGCGCAGTGCCTTGTTCTTGTTTTGACTGTCAAGGATGCTCACGGAATTGATTTGAATTGCTGAGTTCTTTGCTTTCCCTGTACATGCAAATGATTAGCTGGCAGCCAGTGATTCAGATTTGGCTCATCAACATGCAGAGAGCTGGGGAAGTCACATGCAGTTTGAGAATTGTCATTCACTGTGATTATTCTTAGCCACAGGGTCAGAAGCTGAACCCTCACTTGGGTCTCCATTGCGCCTCCTCCAAGGTCATCCCCAGAGCTCAGATAGACTGGCGCGTGTGGAGAAACAGCAAAGGATGAAAGGCTCCAGTCTGAAAACAGGGCTGCTTGTGGGTCTACCTGAGGAGGACTGTGACAGTGAAGAAGTAATAGCTTCATGGACCCTACTGGGAGTCACCATATGGGACTTCCTCACATAATCACAGCATTTTTGAGCTAGAAGCAAGGGCTATCCTCGGAGAGTGATGAAGCCTGGCACAAACTCAAACTGTGAAAGGCTCACCACCTAACAACAGAATGTTAGATTCACAAGGGGCCTTAGAGATGACAAGAATAAGAGAAGTTTACTTCCAGAGCTGAAGCGGACATCAGGGATCATCTGACTCACTCCCTATTTCAAGCTTAAAGTGGTGCTTCACTGTTTCTGACAGATGGTCATCTAGTTTTTGCTTGAAGACTTCCGGTAATGGGGAGCTCACCCCCACCTCAAGGAGAGCAGCTTATTTCAGTTTGGGAGAGAGTAAGCCCTTCACATTATTGCAGGCACCCCAAACTCAGGCCCAAATCAAACTCTGTGAGATTTACATGCTAATCGATCATAGAATTAAATGGAACCTTAAAGAATCTCTAGTTCAATTTAATTAATTTATTGTTGTTGTTCACTCATGTCTGACTCTCTGTGACCCCTTTTGGGATTTCTTGGCAAAGATACTGGAGTGGTTTGCCATTTCCTTCTCCAGCTCATTTGACAGATGAGGAAACTGAGGCAAACAGGGTTAAATGACTTGCCTGGGGTCACACAGCTAGTAAGCGTGTGACTCCAGATTTGAACTCAGGAAGAGGAATCTTCCTGACTTAAGGCCTAGCACTCTATCCACTGAGCCACTTATGCTTGTCAAATCTTAAAGCACTATATAAATGCTAACTAGCTATGATAATGCATCTGGAAATTGTGTTTTCCAGTGCTTGTTCTGTCCTTTCAGTTGTGCCTGAGTCTTTATGACCCCATTTTGGGTTTTGTTGGCAAAGATACTAGAATAGTTTACTAGTTCTTTTTCCAGGTCACTTTACAGATGAGAAACTGAGGCAAAAGGGGTTAAGTGATTTGCCCAGGGTCATATAGCTAGTAAGTGTCTGAAACTGGATTTGAACTCATGAACATGAATCTTTCTGATTCTAAGCCTAGTGCTCTATCCACTGTACCACTTAGCTACCCAATCTTTTTTTTTTTTTGGGGGAGCTAGGCAATGGGGTTAAGTGACTTGCCCAGGGTCACACAGCTATTAAGTGTTATGTGTCTGAGGCTGAATTTGAACTCAGGTCCTCCTGAATCCAGGGCTGGTGCTCTATCCACTGTGCCACCTAACTGCCCCCTACCCAATCTTTTCTTAAGCATTTAGTCAGCTGTGCTAGATACTCTTTTTTTTTTTTGGCTAGACAATGGGGTTAAATGACTTGTCCAATATCACACAGCTAGTGAATGTGAAGTGTCTGAGGCCAGATTTGAACTCAGATCCTCTTGACTCCAGGGCCGGTGCTCTATCCACTGCACCACCAAACTGCCCCTGTGCTAGATACTCTTGAAATTACTTTGTATATACCTATCTGTGTAAATAGTGAAGTGGGTAGAGTGATTAGGTCCCTGGATCTGGAGTCAGGAAAACTTAAGTTCAAATCTACTCTCAGACACAAATTAGCTATGTGGCCTGGACTTTAGTTTCCTTATCTTAACTTCAGTTTCCTCATCAATGGGTATAATAATAACACCTATCTACCAGGATTGTTGTAAGGATAAAATGAGATAAAATTTGTAAAGAGCTTTGCAAATCTTAAAGTGCTATATAAATGCTATTTTAAATAATAATGATGATAATAGCTATTATTATATACTTTTTGTGTCTCCCAAGAGAATGTAAACGCTGTAAATGAGTCATGTAAAGTATTACTCAATTGATCAAATTAGTGGACTCATCAGAGCAGGCATTGGGTGGGTGGTACAGGATAGGGGTATACTGATGGGTAAAAGGGAGGCTGCAAAGCGTCTCCAGGAAGAAGCGGAGTTGCTAACATTTTTGCTTTCTTCATAATTTTGCTTGGTCTTGATGCCAAGCACTTTGATTATTTTTTTTTCTCCTTTTCTCTGGTATTTTCTCACTAGACGTATTATAGGTTAATTACAAACACATTAGAGAGACAGCCTGTACTAGAGACTTGGACTGGATAACCTCTAAAGGCCTTTTCTTCTTTAGAATTCTGTGGGTTTTGAATCTGGAAGAACGCGGACCTTTTGGGACTAAGCTGTGAAAACCATGACCTTCCCCTAGTCTGTTTGGCAGGGAAGGCTCCCTTTATATATAAAGGAGCATAGTCTAAGAGGCCTCTGGCATAATGGGTAAAGGCAGAGGACCTCGCTTCACTGCTTCACTTTAAATAAACAGTTATTTTATGTCTCCTATGTACTCAGGACCAACAGTGCTGGACTTGGAGTCAGGAAGACATGAGTTCAAATCCTGCTTCTGACTCTTGCTAACTCTGTGACCCTGGGCAAATCATTTAACTACTCTCAGCCTCAGTTTCTTCATCTGTAAAATGGGCATAAAAATAGCACCTAACTCTCTGGGTTATTGTGAGGACCAATTGAAAGATTAGATTTATTTTAAATATATTTATATAAGCATATAGGTATATTTACATAACATATTTATATACTTATATATAAATGTTATATATACACTCATATAAATGTTATATATTTACATATATGCACATATGTTATATACACTTACATAAAATAGGTGAGAGATACTTTTATACTTAAACATAAATATGTTATAGATACATAAATATGTTATAAATATATTTATATAAATATACATATAAAATATGTGATAGATACTTATATTATACTTACACAAATGTTATAGATACTTATATATAAATATACTTATATAAATATATTTAAAATAAATCTAGGGGCAGCTAGGTGGCACAGTGGATAGAGCACTGGCCCTGGAGTCAGGAGGACCTGAGTTCAAATCCAGCCTCAGACACATAACACTTACTAGCTGTGTGACCCTGGGCAAGTCCCTTAACCCTATTGCCTAGTCAAAACAAAACAATAAAATAAATCTATTCTTTCAATATATTTATATAAACATATATTTGTATATTTTATATATATTTAAATATATATTTTAAGCATTTTGCAAACCTCAAAACATTACATGTATGTTAGCTATTATTGTTTTTAGTGGTGGTGTTATTATTATTAGTACTATGTGCAAAGCACTTCTTGACCTTAGACAAGTCCCTTGACCCTGAAAGGTTCAATTTCCTTATTTTGAGAAAGGGAATAATAATAATAATACTTTCAGAACTCACTCTCCTCCCCAGGTTGTTGTGAAGAGTGACTTCTCAATTGATAATGTGTGTGAAAATATCTGTCGATGTAAAGTGTTCCACAAACAAATTCCAGTTCTGATTAGCTATTAGTATTGATGACAAGCAGCTATGGGATTCCTTGCAGGCTTACCTCTCTGTGAGCAATCTCATATTGTACTTACCAATGCGGAGCTCGAAATTGTTAAATGAATGCTTGTTGATCTCCTGTATGCTTTCATTCAGGGCAAGAGAGAAGTCAGCCAGAGCACATAAGTGATCCCACTTATCTTCACATTGCTAAACAACAGAGAAACAGAGCCTGTTAAACGTGGCTGGCCTCTGCCTGGAAAACAACTGCTTCTCAGCATGTATGTTTGCTGCTACTCAGTTGGAGTCTACTCTGATTCCATGACCTCCCACCCTGACCCACAACTCTCTACTCAAGGTAGTGATGGTGATTGTAACAACGAGTAATGGCTCACAAAGCACTAACAAAAGGTTGTATTGAATAAGAAGGCAGATTGGTGAAATGAAAGAAGCACAGGACTGGGGAGTCAAGAGCCCTGAGTTCTCCTTCCAGCTCTGCTACCATCTGACTCTGCAGCCCTTGGCAAGTGATTTTACCTCCCTGGGCCTCAGTTTCCACACATGTAAAGTGAGAGGCTTGGACTAAGATGATCCTTAAGGTCTTTATATTCTGTGTTCAGAATGAAATATGGTTTAGGTGTAATTCCTGAAGCCCCACCTTACCCATAGTTTATTGTTATTAAGAAACCCTTTGCATTTATTTAATGTATATCAATCACAGTTAGGAGAGGCAGTGTGTTGCTTTGGAGTCACAAAGACTTGGGTTTAAATCCTGTCTTTGATACATAAGAGCTAGGAGACAATAGGCAAGTCACTTTACCTCTGGTTGCCCCAGGGAACTTGTCAGCATATGTTACTGTGAAGTTTCTGATCTGCATTGGTGAAGGGAGTCTCCACACTGGGAATTTCTTGTACAGATGAAATTATAAATATGGGCCCCCAAGGGTCATATAAATGAGTTTACGTAAGTTTCAAAACAATTGCCTATCTGCATTGATGGAGGGTTTCCTCACTGGGAGCAGTTTTCCTATGCCAATGATATCATAGATCCATACCAAAATGTACATATGTGTATGTATATGCACACATATAACTATACACACATATAGGCATATACATTTGTTCAGTTGTTTTTCAGTTGTGTCCAACTCTTTGGGACCCCACTTGGGGTTTTCTTGGCAAAGATACTGGAGTGGTTTGCCATTTCCTGTTTCAGATATACATATATACATAACATATACATAATATCTCTATATCTATATTTATATATGAGAGAGAGAGAAAGAAAGAGAGAAAGAAGGAAGGAGGGAAAGAAAGAAAGAAAGAAAGAAAGAAAGAAAGAAAGAAAGAAAGAAAGAAAGAAAGAAAGAAAGAAAGAAAGAAAGAAAGAAAGAAAGAAAGAAGGAAGGAAGGAAAGGGAAAGCAGGCAACATGGCTTAATGGATAGAGAGCTGACTTTGAAGCCAAGAAGATGTGGGTTCCAATTCTTACTAACTCTGGGCAAATGACTTAAATTCTCAGTGCTCTAAGCAGTTAATATTGTAATTTGAAGAGAAAGTACCAGCCTTCCTTGGTAGAGGGAATTTCCTCACCTGGGAATTCCATACCACTGAAATCACTGGTCTGGCCCCTATCTCTAATAATTGTATGTGTACATATATACACCCGCTCTATCTATCTATCTATCTATCTATCTATCTATCTATCTATCTATCTATCTATCTATCTATCTATCTCTACCTATCCATATATACACACATGTATACACACAACATACATATAGAATATATACTATATATGTGTATACACACATACATATGTGCATGTGTGTGTATACACATATATACACACACACACATACACATATACATATGTGATATGCGTATAGAGTCAAGATGGCATTGTGGATAAGGAGTTAGTCTCAATGCCAGAAAGAGCTGCATTCAAGCCAGTCTTTGATACCCACTGCCTTTGTGATCCTAAGCAAGTCACTTAAACTCTCAGTGTTCTAGGCAATTCTTAATACTGTAATTGGCAGAAAAGATGGAGGACATTTCCTCATATTGGAATTCTTATATCATGAATTCATAATTCTAGTTCCTATCCTTAATCCTATGAGCTTATTTTGTAGAAATGAGGCAGCAGAATGGTGCAATGCATAAAATACTGTACCCAAAGTCAGGAAGATTAGTTCAAATCCAGTTTCAGATACTTACTAGCTATGTGACCTTGGGCAAGTCATTTAACCTCTGTCTGTCTTAGTTTCCTCATATGTAACATGGGGATAATAATAGCACTTGCTGCTAGTTGTATTGTGAGGATCAAATGAGATAATATTTGCAAAGCACTACATAGTGCTAATAATAGCTATTTTAAAAACATGTTTAATACCATATTATATATGTGCAGCCCACATGTATATATAGTGTACATGCATATATGAATAGTATATACACATACACATGCATATACACATACACATATATGTATGTATACACATGCGTGTATATATCTATATCTATATCTATATCTATATCTATATCTATATCTATATCTATATCTATATCTATATCTATATCTATATCTATATCTATATATCTATGCGCACACACACATATAAGATCAAGATGTGAATTATATGAACTCTTTCTTTCACATTGTTTTTGATTACTCAGACAGAACACCGAAAATATTTCGCATGTAGGCTCGTGATTAGTGTTGTTCATTTGAATGACACTGAAGCAGAGGAAGGTCTACAGCAAATTGGGTGGATTCTCCATGGAGAATTTATGGAAAAAGATGGACAAGAATCTCCAAAGAGTGAAATGACTTGGATGGATGGGTGGCAGTTACATTGGTGGAGGGCACGCCTACACCAAAATGATCAAAGAACATCAAATTATTGAAGTATCAGAGTATAGGCATCATTATTAGAGGTATATGAATCAATATTTGAATCATTTTAATTCCTCAGGTCCATATTTCTGTCTGGGAAGATGGTGGGCAAGAGGAAAAATGATTAGAGAGCACATTTCAATGTAACATAGACCCATTACTTCTAAAGCCCGTGTCTCGGAGAGGTTCAATAACCTTCAGGGCCAATGGAACAAGTTTAGTGCCTCTTCCACAGGATGGATTTTCAGATACTTAAAGATATTTATCTTCTGCCTGCCTCCCCATTTCTCCTCCCCCATCTTTGTATCATCAGGCTAAACATCCCTGGTTCCTGACTAATTGACCCTTGTGTGTGTCAAGATGTTAGGAGACACCCTGTTTTCCATAGCTAAGGCCCAGCAAACAAGCTGGATCCTGAGCTTGGCGTAACAACAGTCCTTTGCACCCACTCTCTGGATGATCTCACCCTCTAGCAAAATCATAATTATTGTATTCCTGTGACCAGCATCAGGTGTTCTCTGAGCTTGAACAAGCTTGGATAAGTACCCATGCTCTGGTCATGAGGGCCTGCAATGAATCAAACTGGCCTCATTGTTGCTTTTATCCCTCCTTGTCAGGGCTACAGCTCACTGTGTAGCCATTGGCATGAGTGCTGAGATCTCTCCACACTACCTCGGGGCCCACCAGTAGGGGCAGGGCCCCAGCACATGTGTCCATGCTTTCGAGCCATTTCCCTCACTTTGAAATTAAATTTCTGTTTGATTCCTGACTCTCCTGTTCTTCAGCTCCAGCCATCCATAGGTTAGAGGCTGGTTCAGTCCAGTTAACATATAATATGTTCTCCAGTCCTCTCAAGCAGTAGCATATGTTTTCTAGGCCAAAGGTTGCTATGGTGCAGTCATGGGGATAGAACATCAGAAAGCAGGCTTTCAAAGTAGTTGCTGAAAACTGTGGAAGGCAAGGCAGGAGTGGACAGAGCCAGACATGTCACTGGTCCATCTGACTCGATAATTTTTGATCACTGCCCAGGTGGGACTGGGAAAGAGACAAGAAAAATGATAGAAAACCAGAGGTGAGAATACAGTGTGAAGAGTGAGAAAGGACAGAGGCGATATGAGAAGCAAGGAGAGTTTTCAAAAGAGGAGGAAAGAAGTATGAAGAGGAAAAATATTTCTGATTTGAGAAAGGCCTTTTCTTCTAGCATATTTATTGGCATTTTAAGAAGTTTAACTTAATGTATTAAGATTGTCCTGGGCATGTTTTACACTGGTAATACATACTCAATTCAACTGAGTCATGATTTTCTTTTACACACTCATCTGAAATACTGTTATTATCATTTTGGAAATGTTTTTCTCCTCATATTTTCTCTCGTGTTGCCATGTCATTATTAGGTTGTTCATTATAATTTCTTCTTCCTACCTTTGTCTTCTGAGATAAGTAAAAAATATTTTTAGCCTAAAGGTTTTTTTTCCCCCATCTGTCCAATGGGGATATTAACTACTGGTACCCTCTCTCTCCCTAACTACCCTTTATTTATTCTTTTTGGGTGGGTATAAATATGTACATACTTAATATGTATATATATATATGCATAGGGTATATATATATATATATATATTCACATGTGTATAAATGATGATATGCACAGTACACATATGTGTACATTAATGGTATCTCTACCTCTGCTCCCAAATGTATGCTCCTTGGAGGGATTTTTGCTTTTGTATCCCCGGTATACAGTGCTTTGGTAAATCAATGCTTATTAATTGACAACTAAGGTTTATACTGGGGCTGCTAGGTGGTGAAGTGCATAGAGCACTGGGCTTGGAGTCAGGAAGACCCAAATTCAAAACCGACCTCAGACACTAGCTGTGTGATCGTGGGCAAGTCACTTAACCCTGTTTGCCTCTGTTTCCCTCATCTGCAAAATGAGCTGGAGAAGGAAATGGCAAACCAGTCAGTATCTTTACCAAGAAAACCCCAAATGGGGTCACGAAGAGTTGAGCACAACTGAAAGGACTGAACAACAACAATATCTGTATTGCCTCCTTTACAAGGTCATTGTGGAGATCAAAGGTGAGAAGTGTATAAAATGTTTTGCACAGTATAAAGTGTTCTACTCTCTGCCCTTCAGGACTTTATTGGGATTCTCCGTCTTTATCTCTTAGGAAGCTTGCTTGCAAAGAGCAACACTCAGACCCAGGGCAATTTAAATTCATGTCAGTGGGTACTAAGAATCTTTGTTAGGTTAGTCAACTAGCACTAGAGGAACCTCACTGCTCTCTATATAAGAAAGCAGCAGGGGTGTAATGGAAAGCATGCTGGAGTCAGACTCAGAAAGCCCGGGTTTAAATTTTGTCTCTGCTACTTATTATCTGTGTGTATTGGGACAAGAGATTTTTGTCTCTCTGGCCCTGGCTTCCTCAATGGGGGGAGCTGGAATTATATAATCTTTAAGGTTCCTTCCAGCTCTAAATCCTATGATGCTAATTTTGTAATATTATTATTATTGTTATTATCCAGCAAGGAATCCTCTCTCTCTCTTAACAGTGCACCTACTCTTTAGCTTAGAGTATGAAAGACCTGCCTGACACACTGAAAGGGTTTTTTCCCCCCCCCCACAATCACATAGCTAGTATGTGGGACTTGAATGAAAGTCTTCACTACTCTAAGATTTTTTTTTTCAAGTCAGAACTTGTGATTTTACCAGTGTGTGCAACTTCCACTGTGGAAACTCACTCCATTGATGCAGATAGCTATTTCATAGCTTTAGAGACCTGCTTGGGGGTATTGAGAGGTTAAGTGATTTGAACATGGTCACAAAGGCTATTATTACTGTTATTATTATATAGCAATTGGGACCAAAGTTCTTAATTGTCTATAATTATTGTATGTTTTAAGGAGAAAAAAAGTAACCACAAAGAAATACCATTGTTCAAGAGACCTAACTACAAAAGAAAACCTGGCAAAATAACTTTGAAGGGATGCCAGGTTCATTATCCTCTGATTCCAATTTCTTCTTTCATGTCTCTAGTGATGGAAAAAGGTAGTTGATGTTCACAATGATGACTATAATGTCTTACAGAATTCTGAATCAGCAAGGAAATTTTAAGGAATGTTCCCTGGATTTTAATTATTAATTTATTTTAATTTATAATATTTTATTATAATAATAAAATTAATTTAATTATTAATATATGAAAGTATATTATACATTTTTAGAGAAGATTTTAATGAAGAAAGAATACTGTTCAATGTTTGGTTAAAAACAAATTTAGATCTTTATGATTGTCCAAACCTTTCATGTTCCCCTCCCCCAAGCACTGACTCATTTAACAAACATTTGTGAGTTACCTACTGTGTGCAGAACATAGTATGAGGTGTTGAGGCAGATTGAAAGAAATGACTCTGTCCCTATTTTCATGGGATTTATAGTTGAGTTGATTCTGGCTAATAATTGAGGGGTTCTTAGATCTTACTTCTTAGGAGCGGATGTTGGCTAGTGTACTAAAAATTAACTTAAGTAAAGGAGAAAATAGTTCTTTACCTGTTTCTCCGGTGATAAGCCTGATACTGCCATATAAGTGCTGCCAATTGTCTTAATTTTTTCAATATCTTGAAATCGGTCTTCACCAAGTAACTAGAAGTAAGTAATCAAAGACAATGATGTTAGTTCTGATTTTTGTGCTTTCACCAAGTACAGTCTGCATTGAAATGGAAGAGAGTGAGCAGAATGGAGTCATTTCTGGACATCATGGGAGTCCTGAACTTTTTAAAAAAAGATATAGTTTCCCCTAACAAGGGGAATTCTCTGCTTACCACTAGGATGATTACCACTCTGCTTGCACTATGATGCCTTGTTGTTTAAACTAGGCTGGCCTGATGGAGAGGCAAATCTAACCACCACCACTACCACCACCTTGATCATTTCCACTGAAACTGTGGAGACAATTGAGGACCTTGAACCCAAGAACCTCGGGAATAGCGAGCTTCCAGCCCAGTGCCCTCAGCCATCACCCTGGGAAGCAGCATCCATGGAGATGCAGCCTGGCAACTGCTCCTGCAGATGCTACAGACATAGCTACTGAAGACCCAGAAAAGAAAGTTCTTGTCACCAAAGGTCTTGGTGCTATCAAATGGTTCAACCTCAGAAATGGATATGATTTTATCAGTATGAATGACATTAAAAGAGAAGCATTAACATCTATTTTTCTTCTGTACTCCAAAGACCATGGGATCCTTTCATCTAACTTGTAAATGAAACTAATAATAATAATGTTGTTCAGTTGTTTTAGTTGCATCCAACTCTTCATGACTCCATTTGGGGTTTTCTTGGAAGACATGCTGGAACAGTTTGCCATTTCCTTCTCAAGCTCTTTTTACAGGTGAGGAAACTGAGGCAAACAGGGTTGCATGACTTGCTCAGGATCACACAGCTTGTAAATGTCTGAAGCCATATTTCAACCCCAGAAGATGAGTCTTCCTGACTCTAGGTTACCTAGCTACCTCCAATTACAATAGCTAACATTTATATAGCACTTACAATATTCCAGACAACATGCTTAGTACTTTACAATTATTATCTCATTTGATCCTCATAACAACTCTGGGAGATGGGTGCTATTATGGCCCCAATTTTACAGATGAGGAAACTAAGGCAAACAAGTTAAATGACTTGCCCAGGGTCACCAAGCTAGTATGTGTCTGAGCTTAGATTTGAAGTCATATCTTCTTTTCTCCGTGCCCAGAGCTCTATCCATTGCTGCTTCCATATGTGTTTTCTCCTTTATTAGAATGTGAGCTTCTTAAGAAATGGACCTGTCTTGCTTTTCTATTTGTATCCTCAATGCAAAGCACGGTAAGTAGTTACAAATGCTTCATTCAGCGTATTCAACACTGAAATCATAATTTTCCCCTCAAATATAGACCTCTTCCAAATTTCCCAATTTCTCTTTGGGGCAATGCTATTTTCTCAGTCACCCTGGCTGGAAAATTGAAGCAATATTTTACTCCTCCCTCTCCCTCACCCCACATATCTAATAAGTAGGCAAATTCTGGAAATTCTGATCCTCAAATTTTATCTGCTGCATCTTCCTTATCATTTCCAGCTGCCATGAATCTTTCAAGCCCTTGTTATCTCTTACCTGGGCCATTATAATACCCTTGTAATGGGTTTCCCTCCAGTCCCCTTTGCTGTCTAGCCTATCTGCCATGGAGCTGGCAAGAAACTCTTTCTAATGCACAGAATTGACTCACTTAACACCTTTAGTGCAGCCACACCGGAGTGTACTGGTTGCAGTTCCTTGAATAAGACATTCTATGCCTTGTCTCAGTGTCTGGGCGCTGATGGGGAGCCAACGTACCTCATGGTGGGAATGCTCTCCCCCCTCAGCTCTGCCTCCTGGTTTCCCAGCTTTCTTCAAGCTTCAGCTCAAATCCCATTTTCTACCCTTCCCAGGATCCCCTAACTGCTAGTGCCTCCCCTCTGAGATCCCCTTTTGTTTATACTGCATGTATTTTGTATATAACTCATCATTTAGATGTTGCCTCTGCCATCAGAATACACCTTCCTTGAGGCAGTGACCTGTGTGTGTGTTGTTGTTTGTCCTTCATTTTGAAGAGGACAAGTGACATCATGGGGTGATGTCTTGACTGGGGTGTGCATTGGATTTAAATGGGGCAGAGTCGCACAAAGTCATCAGCCTCACTCTCTTCCAGAGTCCACAAGCCCAGTGGTAGGACAAAAGCAAAGACGACTGGCAGTGGCCTGGGATGCAGTGGGTGACCTTGGTGTCTTCAACGTCTGACTGAGCTCTAAGCACCCCACAGCTCTTGACTAGTCTGAGTCACCAGGCCTAGCTAAGCGTCATTCTGAGGCACTGGCAGATATGCTTGTCCAGCTACTGGCAGTGACCTCTGAATCACTGTAGAGAAAAGGAACCAAAGGATTGGAGAATGCCAGATAATAATAATGGTAACAACAACAATAACTAGCATTTACACAGTGCTTTAGGGGTTCCTAAGCGCTTTACAAATATTAGCCCATTTTATCCTCATAAGAACCTTTGGAGGATGTACTATTATTAGCCCTCTTTTACAGATGAGGAAACTGAAGCCAACAGGGTTAAATGACTTGCCAAGCTAACAAGTGTTTGAGGTTGGATCTGAACTGAAGTCTTCCTGACCCTCAGCCCAAAACTTTATCTGCTATGCCACCTTGCTGCTGCTGCTGCTGCTGCTGCATGTGTGTGCATGCACAAGCACACTTTGCTATTAGCTACCCCTCCACATTCCAGTCATTTACAAATTTGATAAGTATGTCACCTATGAATGTTCATGACAATGCTAAGCAGCATTCAGGGGGCAATCCACTGGACAACTTCTTCCAAATAAGATTGGCTGCAAGATCCAGTAAGATCTTGACAGGTTAGAATATTGGGCCAAATTGAGTAAGGTGATATTCAAAAGAGATGGATATAAAGTTTTACACTTAGCTTAAAAAAATTTCCACCTAAATACAAGATATAGGAAGCATGGCTAGATAGTAGTAGTTCATTTAAAAACTATTCTGGGGTTTTAGTGGATTGCAAGCTTAAGTCCACAGTTTAATATGCCTGCCCCCGACCCCCAGGCAATAAGACCTTAATAACAATAACAGCAGCAGGTACAACAATTTTATATACGGTTTTAGAGTTTACAAAGTGCTTTATGTCTGTTATCTGATTTAAGCCTTACAAGAGGGGCCTGCTCCGGCGAGTTGATAGTCTGAATTAGCCTCAGTGTTAGTGGTAACAGTATGCTTTAAGACAATGTAGGGCCTCCTCTATACTGCCTGTTTCCCTATCCATTTCCTTGACTTCTTCATCCTTGTAATTACTTCAAAAACTGTAATCTTTTGAAATCTCCTTTAGCAATTTCTATGAATATATTTGAAACTGTTTCTTCATTATGTAGTAAGAGTGGGGAAATAAATCATAGAATCATGAGATTAGAGATGGAAAGGGATCTCAGACGTCATTTAGCCCAACCTCCTTATTTTACAAAGAAGGAGGCTGAGGCCTATAGGTCAAGTGACTTGCCTAAGGTCACTCAGATGGTAAACAGCAGAGAAGGAATTTGAATTCAGGTTTCCTGACTTCAAATCCAGTGTTCTTCCCACTGAACCACACTGCTAAGTGGGCCCTGGTCAGTTCCTCTGCTTGATGCTTGAAGCAAAGAGGTAACTAGAATGGGTTCCCCAATTCAATAAAAAGCCATGACTACTATTGAGGGATGAGCTGCTGTATTGTAGTCAGCTATGCCATGCATGTCCCAGGAGGAGTGAAGATGGAGGGACAGGGGAAAAGGCTATGCTAAACCTCATGGTGGCCTTATGAAAAGTATGCTGCTGATCCCCATTCTTCCTTCTGGCATAGTCTGAATGCATAGCAAAGGAACTAGATGGCTGCTCCTGGCCCTGTGTTAGGCACTGAGGATTCAAAGACAGATACAACATAATTCCTGTCCTCAAAGAGCTCATGTTTTATTGGAGGAGACAATATGCACATATGTAAGTAGTAGTATTTTTGAGGAAAAGGGGTGAGGAAGGGGAGGTTTAGGAAAGGATTCATGTAGGAGGTGTTCCTTGAGCTGAGGTGAGCTAAAGATTCAAAGGAGACAAAGGAAAGGAAAAAATGTATTTTATACTTTATGCAATGACACATAGGCTGAAGATGTAGTATCATGTATGAGGAGTAACAATAAGGCTAATTTAGCTGAAACTTAGAGTATATGAGGGTGAGAAAATGTAAAACAAGGCAAAAAAGGAAAGTGGAGCCAAGTTATAAAGAGATTTAAATACAAAACAGGAATGCTTGATCTGTATTTAATTGTAGATGTAATAGGGAGTACTGGAGTTTACTGAGCAGATGAGTAAATGTGGTCAGACTTGTGCTTTAGGAAAATTACTTTGGGGGGTTTGCTTCAACACCATAGATACTAAAATCACTTCGGCAGATTGGCAAAGGATGGATTGGAGAGGAGAGAAGCTTGGGGAAGGGAGACAAATCAGTAGTTTATTGTAATAGTCCAGACAGGAAGTGATAAGGGCCTAAAATAAGATGGTAGCTTTGTGAGAGAAGAGAAAGGGAGGGAAAACAGTAAATGTTGTAGATGAAGAATAGATAAGATTTAGGAACTGATTAAATATGTGGAGTTGAGGATTACTCCAAGGTTCCTAACCTAAGTGACTGGAATAGTGGTGGGGCCCTTGATAGAAACAGGGAATAAAAGATGGGTGGGTTTTGGGAAAAGATAATGAGCTTTACTTTGTAGTTACTGAGTTGAAGATGCCTAGAAGTTAGCCAGTACAAAATGTTCAACAGGAATTTGGTGAGCTGATACTGGAACTCAGGTGGAGTCTACAGCATCACCTGGTGGCTTACTCAAATATAGTGCTTTGACTACTTATCTTAAGTAGCACCATCTAGTACCATTACTAGATAAAGCACTGGTCCTTCCTGTGACAAAGCAGAGTCTTTGGGGAGGGGGGGGAATGACAATCCTAACAATTAGAACCAAACAAAAATGGAATAGATCTTTTTAGGAGTTTTGTGTTCCATCTAACTGAGGCTTTCAAGCAAAGGTTGGATAGCTCCTTGT